GGGGATAGAGAGAAATAAGGAAAATGCAAGTTGCAGATTTTTCGTGGGGATTGAATTCTTTTGAGGTTACTTTCGTCTTTTTCTGTTTTCAGCAAAACAAATCTATTTCTGTTCTTTGGTTTTACACAATAGCTTCCTTTTTATATAGCACCTTCATTTGTCTAATTATGTGGTTACCAACCATTTCATTTTAATTTAACTATATTACTTTTTTTAAAGTATTGAATCAAGGATCAATTAGAGATTGCTTCTGTATATTTTATTTTTATTGGTTCAATCTTTTTATTCTAGATTGGTTCAATCTTTTTATTCTAGATTTTAGTTTGGATAATTATCTGATCTATATATCTACAATTGTTTATGTTTAGTGAGCTAATAATGTTTTCTTTATTGTTTACGCTTTATCTTCTATTCTTTTATAAAGAGTTCTAATCTTTTTGTTAAGAAAACAATGTTTTATTATTCGGAAACATAAACAGCTATAATTGATAGTAAATGATCGTTTTATCAAGGAGAAAGGGTGTGACTGTGAGTGATAAAAAAAAAATGAAAGGGTGTGATTGTGTTACAATTGGAAGAAATAAAAATAGAGAAATTTCAAAAAATACCACTTTTGAAATGCAACTTTACAAAAATGCCACACTTTTAAAATCTTTACAAAAATGCCACTTTTTCAAAATTATTATTTTTTATATTATTTATGTTTGGATTAATTGGGTTTAGGAGAGTTTAGGGATCAAAACATTTTTTAGTGTTTAGAATTTTAAGATATAGAGTTTAAAAATCTATAATTAGTGGCATTTTTACAAATGAACATCTCTAAGTGGCATTTTTGCAAATATGCACATAAAAATTGGCATTTTTGCAATTTCCCCATAAAAATAATAGTGGAATTGAACAGTAAAAATTAATTTGGAGAAAATATTTTTGACATGCTTAAACAAGTTGGATTTTTTCTTCTGATTTTGTTTTTGTAAGTAGTATTTTCAGTAGAATTAATAAAATTTATTTTCCTTCATTTTCTTTTTGATTGATAAAATTAAAAGAGAAATATTTGTCTACTATTTTCTTTTCCTCTATCTATGACAAAGAGCTGGACAAATTATGTGCTAAATTTATTTCGATTTGATATTCGTATTGATTCGATCCGAAAAATTCGAATATCCGTTATGAATCAATTTAAAGGAAATAGTAAATTTAGTATCCGTCTAAACTTAAACAAATCACAAATACTAATTTCAAAAATCTGAATATCAACTCCGATCCATATATTACTTATATATACATATAGTTTATAACATATATTTACATTTTTAAACTTTTCAAATACATTTGGCAAAAATATGTATAGTAAAAATAGGTATATACTAATTTTTTCATTGAAATATGTTTTAATTCTTATTTTTTTCTTAAATAAAAATATATGTTTTATTTTTTACCATTTTAATTTTCCATTTTTTCATTTTTCTTTAGTTATATTGAATAAATTTAGATAACTTTTATATTTTATTTATTAGTTAGTTTAAATATTATATAAAAAATATGGTGGTTTTGATTATGTTGTTTTGTTTAAAATGGATATCCGTGAATAACCGAATATATTTAGAAAAAATTTCGGATATTCGTAATTTCGAATATTTGAAAATTTTCGAAGCAAAAAAAAAATTAAAAAATTAAATATTTAGAAAAAACAAATCGAATCACAAATACTACAATTTTTCGGATATCAGCTCCGCGCCCAACCCTAACCAATCAAATTCTATAGTACAGTCATCTTGGCTCATGATAAAAGTTTTGTCAAAATATATCCGAGCATACCCACTGAACTAAGTCACAAATTTAAATGATAATCAACAATATGTTGTTTTTGTTGCTAAAATAATCAACATGTTTCATCCATGAATGACTAGTAATGTAGTTGAAACTTAAATAATAGAATTATACTGTTTTCAAATCAACTACAAAACAGCAAAATTTAACCGTAAAATTTTAAAACACTTAATTTCAACTACATTTTGTTTTTGTTGCTAGCCTACAAAACAAGCAAATTTTTTATTTTTATTTTTTTACGTCCAACGATCTTATTGCAACTTCAAATCCTTAAAATGACTATTTTACAATATAACTCTGAGAATGTATCCTAACTTATTTAGCCATATGATCTACTTAACCATTGGTTTCACGTGAAATATGAAGGAAAAAGAGATTACAAAACTTTGCTACCTTAATAATATCCTACAATTGTATTATCTAAACAAGATACATCATTTAAGGATTTTTCAAATCAACACTTGAGTCTTGCAGTAAACCATAAAGCTTTTGTAAATCCCCACAGAAAGTGACATCACGATAGCCAAGCTTATGTAACTCCACTACTGCCATTCTCAAAACTTCCACTTCAGCATGAGTAGGAGATTGTGTAAGCAGAAAAAAATCCTGAACCACTGAGCAACGACTGCAAACTGCAATTGTACAGACTCCATCCAATACCTATATTATGATGCTGAGAAAGCTAAGAAGCATCAACTAGACAACAATGTTGATGGGCCTGTTCAAAGAGATGAGTTAAGGTTCTAGGAATAACCTTGGAAAATGGTCTAGTTGACTCTGTTATGCGCTCCTGGGTCTGATCTTGTTGACGTAAATCCAAGGCTTCCATCCATAATTGGTAATCCTGGATAACTTTGTTAATCATTGACGGTATAGACCATCTTTTATTGTTGAAGATTACCTCATTTCTTTGCTTTCATATTCTCCAGCCCAAAAAATGAAGTAACAGAGTGAGGTCATTGGACTCTTGATTTGCTGATATAAAATCAGCATAGTTCTCTGCTAATGTTTAAGAAAGCAAAGAGTCATTACCAGGTCGAAGCACCGCATCCAGCTCCCAAATTTCCTTACTGACACA